CATCGGTCTAAGGACTGGGGTGGGAAGGGAAGGGACACTTTAACTATGCTGCCCCTTCCACTCCTGGTCTCCCTTCCTGATACTCTCTTTCCAGGTTCATCATCCGTGAAGTTGTGCCTGACCCTCACCTGTGCCCAGATGCATGGAAATAGGACAGTCTTAGATATCCTTCCCCTGGAGCCTGTGCCACCAGCTAGCTCATCTGACAGACCCTGAGTGAGTCTGACATTTACTTAAACAATGTCTAGTAGTGAAGGAGTGTGAATTTGGACACCAAGTGGAGATTAAGGAAATGCCAGAAGTATCAGACATTAGTCTCAGGTGTCTTGGAATGTATTTTTGTTTTGTTGCAGTACTGGGAATTGGTTCAGGAGCCATCACACTGAGCTACAGTCACAAGCCTTTTATTACTATTCTTTGGTACCAGGAATTGAACTCGTGACCTTGTGCTTGCCAGGCAGATGCTATGCCACTCAGTTATATCCCTTGCCCTCTTTTATTATTTTTTGAGACAAAGTCTCACTAAGTTGTCCATGCTGGGCTAAGACATTTGATCCTCCTGCCACAGCCTCCCAGAGTGCTGAGATTATAAACATGTACCACCAGTCTTTGCTGAAATATGTCAATTTAGGACTACTAATTATACATTTGTTGCAAGGCACCTGATATACATTTTTTAAAAGGCATGCAACTTTTGTACTTTTTATTGTGACATTTATTTATTTATTTATTTATTCATTTATTTATTATGATGCTGGGAATTAAGCCCAGGGCCTCCTACATGTTGGGGAAACATTCTATGACTGAACTGAGCTATACCTCCAGCCTTCCATAGTATCTGTCTATCTCTTGTTTTTTAGACAGGGTCTTATTTGGTAGTTCAGGCTGGCCTTGAATTTACTATGTAGCCCAAGTTGTCCTTGAACTCTTGCCCATCCTCCTGCCTCAGCCTCCAGAGTGCTGGGATTATAGGCACACACCACCACCCCTGGATCTTGCATGATATTTTTATATAACAATATCTAACATGTTATCTAGATGACATTTTCCTCCAAAATCTTAGAGACAATTCATGGTCACACTGTAATTATGGCTTATTTTTTGTATTGGAAATCAAACTCAAGACCTTGAGCTTGTCAGGCAGGCATTTAAGCCGCTGAGCTATATCCCCAGCAACTGTGGTTTTTTATCTGTCAGCACACTGCCACGTATCCTGGGAAACACAGATCCCAGGTTGAGGAGCATAAGGGTCCAAAACAGTGGGCAGATGGGAGAGAGGGGTCAATCATATTAACTGTGTCACTTCTGGCACATGGCACAAAGGCAGACCAGGAAAGAGAGGACAAGGAGCAGGTAGGCTTGCAGTATCCTGCATTTTGTGCTCCACTATTACCTGCCACCTGCTACCCACAGGCTGTCTGGACCTCAAGCGACAATTACAGGCCTTCATATAATGAGTGTGGTTACATTCATGTCTCTGTTTCCAGGAGAAGGACTGCAAAAGGGGGCTGTACTGTATATTATAGGGCACAGTTGAAAGCACAGGCTGGTTTAGAAAACTGACTAGCTCACTCTCCACTTACCAGTTGTGTAACCTTAACTGAGTGACATCTCTGGACTTCAATTTCTTCTTCTGAGATGTGAAGATAACAGTGTCTCTCTCAAAGGGTTGTTGTGATGATTTAAATGAAATCATGCATGCAATATAATTAGCAAAGCAAGTGTTGAAACACAATTGGTTTGCCTACTCAAGGGCAAGGATCAATTTTTTTGTGTTGTGGAAGGATTGCAACATGGTTCAAATACAAGCTCCTTTTAGCCGAATCCTTGAAAATAAGAATGAGGTCTCCATACCCAGAGTATCAGAGACAGGAGAGAAGGAAAGCTCAAACTGAGCTCATTCCAAAGTGATAGATCCATCACTGGCAGTTGAAAAATGTCAGTGAAAGCACTGAAATGCCCTTGTGATGCTGGAGTGTGGATGCCACCGAAGGCCTCGAGCTGTGGATGTGTAGGCACTTGTGGGAGGGAGTCTCTGATGGGAAATAAGCAGTACCTGTGAGAAGTTAAATCTTTATTATTTCCACCTAACAGAGACTTGAAGCAGGTCAGAGCATTGGACCCAATACATGCCCCTGGAATCCAGGACATTTTGCCAAGACCCAGGACTGAACTCTCAAAGTCATTCCCTCCCACTTCATGGAGGACTTCCATGTCTGGCTTACAGGCTGCAGGATGAGGAATAGGACATGGTCATTACTTTCATTCTATTGGCTTGCAGAAGAATTTGATCCTAAGACGTAAATTTAAGCCTTTCCTGGGTGCTGGCAATTGATCTTTCCTTTCCTCTGGCAGCAAAAAGTCTGGCTGAGGCAGTTCTTTTCAATTCATTGCTGATGAAATTGCCTATTATCCACAGTGCTTTGACAACAGCTTGAAAAACTGTGACTGTGCCAGGACCACAATAGTCAGAACTTGTTTTCCTTTAATTGGCTGAAGTCAGCAAGGCAGGAATCAGGCTGCAGGGAACATGTATTGGGTGGCTGAAGAGCATCAGCTTCAGGCTTTAGCTCAGGCCAGCAATGTCAAGGAAAATACTGTCCTCCCACAGTGCCCCATGTACTGCAGAGCATGGAAAACCAACAGTCCACTCAGGAGAGTTTCAGAACCTTTGGGAAGTAGTTGGTGAAACTCAGCTGAGCTGGGAGCAGGTGTGAGGACTGGCTGATGGCCGTGGCTTCTCTTTTGATAGGAGGATGCCCTGCTGCCCAGCCATGTACAACTTTCTAGAGGCAAAGGGCCCTTGTTGCATGGTACAGAACTCTGAGTACTATGTGCCAGGTACTCTATGAGTGGATACCCAGAATATAGAACCAAATAAAAACACATACTGATCTCAAGGGGCTGCTGGTGTTATTAGGACAAGGCTATAGGGGACCCAAGTTTCTGGACTGTTCGTTGGGTCATTTTGAGTTAGCAAGTTTCAGTTTATATGAGCATTGACTTCCACTGAATCCCAATTTGGTGTTGTGGGACAGTGGCTCTGGCAGGCAGTCTTCAGAAGAGCTCTGACCTCAGTCTTAGGATGTCCCATAAAATTTGATATTGTGAGACCTGCAGAAACAGATGTGGCTGCCTCTGCCTCCTCTATCAATACTTGGAAAATTTCCATAGCCAAGACTTGTTCAGACAAAACAAAGTCAGTCTTTGGGAAGAAACAACTCATCAAGGTCACTGTATATGATTGTGTAGTTTGTGTACCCAGCCAAACAGGCAAGTGGGGCTGGATAGAGCTGAAATCACCAAGCCATTTGCCTTCAGGACTAGAGTGCCCAGAGGGCATTTCCCCTCTAATTCATCAGTGTGAAAGCGGCACTGGGAAACATTCTCTAATTTGTACAAGGGTGACTCAGCCTGGGATACTGGGACCTGTGATTATTGGAAAGAATGAAGAGCACAGGAGAAAGAAAACGACTTTTCACCATTAAGTTCTCTGAAAAGTCAGAGAGGTTGTCCCCGACCCCGCCATCAGGTCCCTATCTAAATCAGCAACCCTCCTCCTCTGTAAAAACTACCAAAGGGTGTTGTATAAGATTTTCTAGCCAAAACTTCAGGGCACTGGCACATTTCATTTTTCCAATCCTAACCCCAAGGAGGGCTGGCATATAACGTTGTCTCCATCTGGTGCACTAAGCATGGGGCACATTGTGAGGTCACAGCTGTGGTAGCCAGGTGAGCTAGAGATCCCACAGTCAAGGGAAGCGGGCAGATAATAGCCAGTACTTGTGACAGACAGGATGCTTCTACAATAAATCAAAGGGGATCCTCAGTGTGTTGGCAGGGTGATGTTAAGGGACAGAGCCTCAGCACTCATCACTCACCAAGAGCATGGGTCCCAGGGAGCAGAGCACAGGAGGAGCACTGAAAGGCCTGCCACCAACCAACAATTTAAGGACACAAGGACACTCACAGAGAGGCACTGCAAAGACTTAATGGGATAGTAAGATGAATAGATTTAATCATTCTTGTTTGAAAAACAAGACATAAATTAGTGTATATATATAATTTATATATTTATGTAGTATATATACTATATACAGACATTAGAAAATGTTCCCCTTCATGAGGCTGAAGGAGAGTTGAATGGTGGCAATGAAATGACACAAGCAGGTCTTGAGTGGCAGAAGTATAGGATCAAGAAGTTGGGAGAAGAGGAAGACCACGTGAGCACACTGGCTGACAGTGGTCATGGGGGAAAGGGTTCCCCACTGGCTGCATCTCTGGCCCATTAAGCAACTTGGTCCTACAGGAGGAGAAGCAAGGAAGTGGGGGCTGGGTTCTGCAGAAGGAGCGCCCCTCCTCCTTGCTGGAGAATCGGCCACTCAGGGAGGCTTATTGTGCTAGGGGTTACCATAGGTGGGCAGGGGTTAAGCACAGTGTACATTTTTATAAAACTCACAGAGGGACGAGAGATTTCACATGGACCTCTCACACAGCAATGAGAGAGGCAAATGCAAGGCAACAGGGTGTGGGAAACAAGGAGATATGGAGAGGTGGACGAGAATCAATCTATACAGAAGAAACATTGGCTTTCTTTGTTCCCTCCAGTGGGACAATTGGTAGGGACTCCGTGTCTTCACTCCTCAAAAGGTTGGGGGGGGTGGTTGGCAGCAGTGGTGACGGCAGTGGTGGTGTTGGTGGTGGCAGCAGTGGTGGCAGTGGTGATGGTGGTGGCAGCGGTGGCAATAGGAGATGTGTGTCAAGGAGGATGCTAAACAGTGTGAATTCCCTTCCAGATGGCTCCGGAGAGGGAGAGAGAGGTGCAGGACTGCACCGGGTAAGGCGCTCAGCTTCTTTTCTTAGAGAGACAAATCCACAGGGTCAATACACAGCCAAAAGCATATACTCAGGATTAACATGTCACGCTAGCTTCCAGAAGTTTAAGATGTAGTCATCAATACCCCCCACCCCTACCCCGTTCCCCCCTCCCCCCACCCCCCCACCCCAATTCAAAGCTAAATCAAACTTCTAAGGACAGTCTGTCTGGTAGAGAAATGAGAGAGGAGCCCCATGCCTGTGGCAATGGCCCCTGTGCTGGGCGGGACGGGCTCCTAGGCCTGCGCTGGGTCTCCCCAGTGCAGACATTTTCACCAGGTACCTTGTCCAAAACGAGTGGGGCGATCCCAGAGGCTTGTTCTCTACTGGACTGAGCTTCCCTGCCCCTAGGTGGTGGGCAGGGCACTTTTGCAATGGCTGGTGTGGAACTACTGGACCAGGGGGTGAGGGCTCCCATAGCTGCCAGCCTGTTGATTGGCTGCAAACAGCCAGGTACAGCTATTTTTCTGCACACATCCTACCTGGGCATGGGCCCTTAGAGGGTTCCTGCCAGGTGTGTGTGAGCCCGGGGTGGACAGACAGACACATTTGGACCGAGCACCCTCACCCCTTGGTGTGATGCTGTGGCCTACTGCTACTGCCACCACTCTGTATAGAGGAGCACACGCCAGGAGAAGCTGGAGGCCCTAGCTCCCCTGGGGCCCAATTCATGAGTCTGATGTCGCCTCTCAGCCCCAGTGAAGAGAGGAAATATAGCTCTGCGGTGGGCAGAGTGGCGAGGGGCGTTTGTCCTCACAGTGATGCCAAGAGGCCAGAGAAGAGGTGAGAACACCCAGGGCAGCAGCGAGGCCTGCAGCCCTTAAGAGAGAGCCTCAGCTGAGGGAGTTTTCACTCCCTGGAGACTGATAGGCTCTTGGACCCTGACTGGCCCAGGAGACACACACACACTCACCACAAGATGCACGAACCACGAAGCTCAAACCTGGGGGTTGGGAAGGGGGCAGACCTGGGTAGATGTCCTACTTAATAAGGGTTTTTAAGGAGCGGGTGAATGTGCTCATAACAGTCACTGAAGCTGGGGACCCTGGCGGCTGCCCCATGGCTGCCCCTGTAGCTGCTGCTGCTGCCTGCTGCTGCTGCTGCTGCTGCTGCTGCTGCTGCTGGTTAAGGTTCCGAGCTGTAGACTCCTCAGCTGCTCGCAAGAGGAAGGTATAATTCCTCACTACCTCTTCTACCTTGGCCAGCAGTTCTTGACGCTGGGCCTCAGAGCGCACAATGAACACCAGCCGCACGAAGGTCTCAATGAGGCTGCTCAGCACCTGGAAGCTGCCTGTGATGGCTGCCAGCATGTGGGTTGGGCTTTTGTCCACGTTGGCCACACGGCGGCAGGAAGCCCGAAGCTCCTTGAACTTGAGAGCTAGCTCGAGCTTGTACTCGGAGATCTGAGAGACATAGGGCTTGGGAGCACGGGCCTCAGGGCTGGCCACACACTGCCTTAAGACAGTCAGCAGTTCATTAGTGTCTAGTCGGGCAGCCAAGAAGCCATCAGGGAGGCCATAGGCATGGGCACGCAGGGCATTGATCTTGGCCAGGCTCCCCTCGAAGGTGGACACACGAAGATCAATCTCCTGGGTGCGTGAAGCCTCAGGGCTGCTGCTACAGGTGGCCGCATCCAGCACTTGCAAGGTCCTGCTCACCACAGGCACTACCTGCTCATCCAACTTCATGCCTGGCAGAATCTTCATGGGGATAGAGTAGGAAAGCTCGTCTTTGCCATCACTGGCATCATCTGCCATGTCACATTTGCGATAGTAGAAGCAGTAACGGATAGAACAGCACTTGCTACTCTCACTGTCCTCGTCCAGCTCAGCAGGCTTCCGGTACACCTCCTCTGGTAATGAGAACACAGCCATCTGTCCGGGGCCTTTGGTCTCAGGGACAACCTGGACGTATGAGGGGTCTCCCAGGTTTGGTGACTCCACCGATTTGCTTTTGGGACCCAAGCCTAGGGGGAGGCCTGCCTCTACCTCCTTGGCTTCCCTGGGCAGCATGCCCAAGGGTGGGTGTGGATATATGTCTGAGGTCAATGAGGCCCTGTCACTCTGGTCCAGCTCACTGATGCTGTAGCGGCGCATCAGTTTTCTATAGTTGGGAGCTCCCAAACACTCACCCCCTGAGGCACACGTGGTCAGGCACGAAACACCACTCTCGGGCTCTGATCGACACTCTCGGGATTCCAGGCTGGTTGAACGGATGCGCCGGACATTGACGGGGCTGCTGAGGTTCAAGCCTGGGCTAGCCTCTGGCTGCCTCTGAGTAGGGGGTAGCCTGTCTCTCTCCCTTCCCCGGAGGCCAGGCACCGGTGTCTGGGCAGTCTGTGGCCGGCCCCCCCTGGAGATGCGCTTGCAGTCACAGCTGCGCCTCTGCTCTCGGGACATGCCGGGCCCCTGCTGCACAGGGCTGCTGCGTAGTTGGCAGCTGCAGCGGCCAGGTGCGGGAGGTTGCAGGTATTCAGTGCTGGGCAGCTCCCCCTGGCTTGGTGGCTTTAGAAGTTCCTCAAGGAACTCCAGCTCATACTGCTTTACCTTCTGCAGCTGGGCCTGTCGCTCATCTGTCTCCTTTTTCTGGCGGGTAGGAAAGGTGGCAGAGAATAAATTGCGAAGCCGGAAGGGACCTCGTGATGACTTGGGCTTTGTGGGTCCTTCAGAAGTGGAATGGGTTCCATCCAGAGTTTCAAGCCCCCTGGAAGGCATGGTGCTCACCTGCCGGCTGGCAGCCTGAGGCTTCAGTGGACTCTGGCCACGAGGTTGGCAGCTGGGACTCTGACCTCGGGACTGGCAGCTGGGGCTATGGCTTCCAGGCTGACAGCTGGGGCTCTGCAGAGCCATGGAGTAGCCAGCTCGGGGGACCAGGCTGGTGTCCTCAAGCTTGCCACTTTTGGATGTGCTATCCAGCTGTCCCTTCTCCCCTTGGTTGGAGACAGCACCCTGCTTGTGTGAGGCAGGCTTTGCTCCCTCTGGCCCGTCCTTGCTGACCACCTCCCCTGTAGCTTGCTTGCCTGCTGATTCTCGACCTGTTCGTGCAAGATACCCTTTGGGAGGGAAACTCTGAATAGGGAGCCTGTCCTCTTGTGGGGGAAGGTGTAGGTTCTCGGCTTGGCTGCCTACAGGTGCTCTGGGCCTGGAAGACACCTCTGGGCCCAGCTGCTTCTGGGAATTCCGTGAAGCCTCTAGAGCACTGGGGCTCGTTTTAAACTTCAGATTCTTACTGGTACTGCTGCCCATCATGCTAACCTCTGGTCTTCCTATGCTGACCTCTGGTCTCCCTATGCTGGCTTCCAGCCTTCTCTCTCCCCTGCCAGCAGGGTTCCCCAAAACCCCACCAGTGGGAGATAGACTCTTACTATGAACCACCTGCTGGAGGGCAGCAGAGATGATGGCTGGGGTCACACTGCCTTTGGGGTCCAGGATAAGCTTGGGGCTCAACCTGACCTCCTTGGGCAGGTTCTCCCTCAGCTCTGAGACCTGCTCTTCACTGAGGGAGGGTGTGGCTGCCCTCAGTGACATCTCCATGCCAGCCCTTGTGTGGCCAGGACCTTTGTCCTCAGGCACTGGCGGCAGCAGGCTCAGATTCTTCTGCTCACTAAGCTGACTAAGCTGAGGGGACAGTGCTGGATGTACTGCCAGGGAGTATGTTCGCTCTCCCTGTGCCTGGGACTCTGACTGGGGCAGCTTTCTCCGAGCACCTGGGGGGCCAGGACTCTGGCCTGTGACAGCTGGCTGGAGGGATGTATTGGGATCCGGGCGCCCAAGAGAGTAAGGGGCTGTGAGAACGGCCTGGGCTGCGCAGCTCTGGATCCGGAAGGGCAGGTCCTTGTTGAGGTGTTGTGCCAGGAAGTAGGTGGTATTCTGGTGCTGCTTCATGGCGGACATCATCTCTGACATGTCTGTGAGCTCTGAAGAGTTGGTTTCATGGCCAGAGTCCAGTGATGATTCAGGAGTAATTGTGGCCAGCACAATCAGACCTGGAAGAATAGGAATGGGTGTTATACTTACTGACCACTACATACAGAGACTTCATGGAGGCCATAATTAGTCATCAGTATTTCAAGCTGGGGAAAACCTGTCAGGCCTGGGGAGAGGGTAGGGCTACTGGTGGGAGGAGTGAAGGAGAAAGTCAAAGAGGAGTAAGATGTGATGAGGGTACAAAAGCTAGAATAACAAGAGTAACAAAAAGAGGGGAAGAAAAGATCTAGGCAGTTGGTGGCAAATTAGCATGCAAAACCCATGCAAAACAACATGGCAATCAACACTATTTTTAGATTCAACAGCTAGAAAATGTCTGTCAATTGTCCTGAAGAGGGCTAGCAAATTCTATCCTTTCTCATGTGGCCAGGGCTGCCTATAGCCCATGCAGCTGAGGCCATTTAGATAAGTTCATCCTCTCTCTTGCAGCTACATAGGTCACTAGCTTGGGAGCAGCTAAGACTTGGAGCTCTTGATTAAAGAGCAAACAGAAACATCAACCCCTCCTGGTGGGGTGGGGGGCTAATGTGGGGGTTGCCCAGCATGAAGGGTGTCCTCTTTTACAGAAAAGGTAAGTATCCTCAGATCCTAGTCCCTTTCCTTTTTTTGTCTATCCCTTGCCCTGCCTCAAATGCTTGCTCATGTTCCTTATTCCTCCCTACCTCTTTTCTGTTGCTGTGTCATTTACCACTCTTTTTAAAGGTGTATGCCTGTGTGACTATGGGTTCTATATATTTGTTTAGAAGATAGATACATATGTGTCGATAGCAGGGGAGACCAGGCATGTCACATGGCTCTCCTACCCTCTAATGATTAATCTCAGTAGGTACCACTTACTGAATCCTTACTGTGTGTGAAGCTGTGTTTACGCTTTGCAGGAATCATCTCACTGAATCTGCACACCCCTATGTGCTACGATGACTGTTATCCAATCCACTTAAGATGACAACAGTGAGGCTCAGAGAGGGAGTGCCTCACCACTGGTCATGCTGTTTGTGAGTTAAGAAACCAGAACTTTGCTGCATGTGACTGAGAGCTCAGGTTGTCAGGCAGAATACAGACCTCAGTTCTGGCAGTGATGGCTCTTGGGTCCCCTAATCCCAAAGCAATATGGTAAGTTTTGCTTTTCCTCCAGTCAGGTGCATGCAAATATTCTTGGCCTGCTTTCTATATCTCTCACAATTCTTCTCTGATCCTCCATCCTGGCCTGGCTCTGTAGCTGTCATGGCCCAGTCCCTAGGATCCATTTAGAAGACATGTCCGGAGTGATGGAATGGTGAGAAGCAGAGCTCCAGCTAGAGTTGTACAGCCCATTTCTGCCACAGCACTGTTGCTCCCTGGACCCTACCTGCACTACTTCTGGCTCATCCACTGCCCTGATACATCTGCTTGAGAAAACACAAAGTTACATGCTGGCCCTTCCTGGCCAGGAGAAGGAAAGGAGACAAGACGGGAGGGGCGGGGGAGGGTGATTACCTGCTGTCTGTGGGGGAGGGGGGTGTGGTCCATCCTCTGAAGCAGCCAGGGCTTCTAGAGCCTGCAGAGTGGACACCAGAGCATCATCTAGCTCCTGGGCATGATCTCTGACTGTCCGGGTTTGCACACTGTCAATCAGTGTCACTGGAATCTCGTCATACAAGAGCCCACGCAGATGGCGTCCTTGTTCCTGGCTTTGGGCAGCCCGGCGCTTGGAGTCATCCTCATCAGAGCTGTTGTCTCGAAAACCAGGGGGTGGGGCGGCAATGGCAGGCAACAAAGAAGTTGTCTCATCTTCCTCTTCTTCTTCCTCCTCACTCCCTGGTGGTGGGAGGGACATCAAGTCTACAATATTGTCACGAGAAGAGCCAGGCCTCCCACCTTTTCGAGGGCCCAGTTGCTCCTGGAGTTTGGTTTTGCATGAGTCACAGTAGAAATTCAGGGCTTCAGCCCCAAGGGAATTGTCCAAGGTGTAGGACCGGGCCCTGCTGGCACAAGGTTCATGGTCTAAGCTGGTTGCATCAAAGTCATCGGGGACCACATGGTAACCTTGGCCAGAGCTTTTGGATGTGGGGTCAGACTTGGTCCGGGGCCTGGTCTCCTCAAAGAAGATTAGATTCTCATTGACATCTGTCCGGCTTTCCTGCTCTTTCCTTTGTTCCCGCATATGGAGGTAGCAGAAGCTGACAAGCTCAGAGTCGGCAGGTGGGGGCGTGCAGCGGCTCGACTTCCTGGGGCTGGTGCCCACGCTGCCCACATAACTACTCTCCTTTTTCCCCAGGTGGCCCCCAATGACAGGGCGGTGGGCGCTGTGCATGTAATCTAAACCCAGAAAGAGAATCAACAGATGAGCCCTGGTGCTAAGAATTGTGCCTGAGCTCCCTTGGCACATCTGGCTCATGGCACTGCAGCACAATTATGTGGCAGATATCAAGAAAAAGTGTTGCCTGACTGTGAGAGTCTAACGGGGAAGGAATTTATAGACCATATCAGTCCTAACCTTAAGAGTTAGGTGTATAGAATCTAATGGCCTCAGCTGCTAATAGGCTCATCACCTTTGAACTGGGAAAACACATGAGGTGAGGTATCAGGAAAACACTGGTGTCTGCACACTGGCTGGTCTCTTCCATGAATATATCCAGTCTGTAAATGTATTCAAAGAGGAAAGGTTTACTTTCCCCTGAGAACCGTTCCTGCCCCTGTCCCTACCCCACTTTTGAGTAATTACAATTGTTAATGTTGTCTTGGATCTCTTCTAGCACAAAGAAATAAATCTGACAAGTTATTACTGCTGTATTAAAAGTGTTAAACTGGTTAGTAGATGCCCCAAGTGTTTGCATTTCAAAGAGAACTGTTGATGGAGGAACACTAAAAGAACAGCTATCTGGTAGGAATTCAGGGTATCTGGCTTCCTAAAGCATGTGGGAACAATGACAGGGGTACTCTGTGCAAGGAGGATAGAAGAGCATTCTCATGTTTCTTCAAAGCATAAATCTTCAAAACATTATTCTTATATTCATGCAGAATGGTAAAATGTTCTCATCAATAGCTTTTTTTGTCCAGTACTAGGGATAAACCTAGGGGCACTCTACTACTAAGCTATGTTCCCAGGCCTTTAAAAATTTTGAAATGATCATGCTAAACTGCCCAGACTGGATTCAGATTTGTGTTTCTCCTGCCTTAGTCTCTGGAGTAGCTGGGATTACAGGTGTATGCCCACATGCAGACTTACTGACAGCTCTTGATGGTAGGTTTGTACATCTGAGAACTATTTATAGCAATGCTTTATTTCTGAATGGCTTCTCTCTCACATTGTTTTGGGAACCCTCTCATGTCATCTGTGAACATATACTCAAACAATGCCAACTTGCTCTGCTATCACATAGATGATAAACAAGCAGTAATTTAAGGTAAGAGCATTGTATACTATTCCATTTAAGCCTTACAATCCAGTGAGGTACGTATTATCATTATCCCCATTTTACAGAGGAAGAAATTGACCCAAGATGGCTATGTGATTTAACTAAGGTCACAAGGGTCATAAGTGGTAATTTGGGCTGGGTATCATGGCACATGCCTATAATCCCAGCATTCTAGGAGGCTGAGATAGGAAAATTGCCAGTTCCAGCCCAGCCTGGGCAACTTAGGAAGAACCTGTCTCAAAATGTTAAAAGAAAGGGGGCTGAGAATGTAGCCCAGTGCAAAGGCCCTGGGTTCAATCCCAGGTACTAAAAATAAAAAATGGCAATCTGGACTGGCACCCACATCTCAGGGGCTTCAAAACCCATGTTTTTAATCACACTCTGCCATTAACTATGGTGGTCAAGATGCTAGAAAACAAGACTTTAAATGCCTTTCAAACTCCAGTTTGACAGGGTCAATGTCAGTGTTGCCTTTTATGAGAGCCTACACTGTGACAAAAACACACAGTGTTAAGTGTGGGCACTTAACAAGAGAGCCCCAAAACACCTGGAGCAGAAACTGGCTGAACTGAAGGGATAAAGACACAATTCAACAGTAGCTAGAGTCAGTTGTAGTGAACGCCAATATGAGGTGGAAAGATTAAAAGTTTGAGGCCGATTTGGACAATTTAGCAAGACCTTGTCTCAAAAAAAATTTTTTTTAAAAGTCGGGAGATGTAGCATGTTTGAAATCCTGGGTTCAATCCTCATATAGAAAAAAAAAACAAGATTAAATAAAATCAATAAGCCCTTTAACAACCTTACCAAGAAAAGAAAAGACTCAAATCCATACAATTAGGAATTAAAAGGGTGAAATCACAAAAGATCCTATAAAAATACAGAAAAACATCTATATCTACTTTGAGAACCTGTACTTCAATATGATGGAAAATACAGAAGAAATGGACGGATTCCTAGATACATATGAATTATCAAAGCTGAATCAAGAAGGAATAAAAATCCTAAATAAACCAGTCACTAAAATTACATCATTCAAAGCCTACCAACAGAAAAGCACAGGCCCTGACTAATTCACTATTGAATTCTACAAGAAAATTAGAGAAGACATAATGTCACTACTTCTAAAATTCTTTACTGAAATTAAAAGGAAAGCAGTACTTTCAAATTCATTTCTGAAATCAAGCATACTCTGATATCAAAACCATAAAAGAACCCAATTAAGAAAGAAAACTATAGGTCAGTCTCCCTAATGAACACAGTTTCAAAAACCCTTAATAAGATATTGGCAAACCAAATAATCAAGAAGATTATACAGGGTCAGGGCTATAGCTCTGTGGCACAATGCCCATCTAGCAAGCACAAGGTCCTGAGTTCGATTCCTGGTAACAACAACAACAACAAAAAAGGATTATACACTATGACCAACTAGGACTCATCCCAGGAATGCAGGGATGGTTTAACATATGCCAATCAATAAATGTAATACACCATATAAATAGAACCAAACACAAAAATCACATGATCATCTCAATAGATGAAGAAAAAGTATTTTAACACGTCCAACACCATTCATGATTTAAAAAAAAGCCTAGAGAAAATTGGAATAGATGGCCTTTATCTTGATCTGATAAAAGTCATCTATGACAAACCAACAGCCAACATCATACTGAATGGATAAAAACTGAAAACATTCACTCTAAAATCAGGAACAGGACAAGGATGTCCACTATTACCACTCCTATTCAATATAGTTCTGGAAACATTAGCCATATCAGTTAGAGAAAGAAAGAAATAGGAATATTTATAGGAAAGAAAGAAGTTAAATTACCATTACTTGCAGATGACATGATACTCTACATAGACATTCCAAAAACTTCACTAAAATACTTCTAGATTTACTAACCAAATTAAGTTGCATAGCTGGACACAAAGTCACCACTCAGAAATCAATAGCCTCCCTGTACAAGAATAACATATTCTCTGAGAGAGAAATTAAGGAAAGAACTTTCACAATAGCATCCTAAAATATGAAATACCTTGGAATCAATCAAAAGTAGGAAATAAAAGATCTTTACATTGAAAACTACAGTATTCTGAAAAAGGAGATTGAAGAAGATATCAGAAAATGGAAAGATATCCCTTGCATTTGGGTAGGAAGAACCAATATAGTGAAAATGGTCATACTTCCAGAATTGTTATACAGATTTAATGCAATCTTGATAAAAATTCCAATAGCATATCTTCACAGAATTAGAGAAAATGGGGTGATGACATAGCTCAGTGGCACAAAGCCTACCTGGCAAGTGCAAGATTGTGAGTTCGATTCCTGGTACCCTCCCACCCCCAAAATTAGAGAAACCAATCCTAAAATTCATTTGGAACAAGAAGAGGCCTAGAATAGCAAAGGCAACTGTGGGCAATAAAGACAAGGTGGGGAACATTATAAGTCCAGACTTAAAATTATATTACAAAGCTACTGTGATAAAAATAGCATGGTAATGGCAAAAAAACAGACCTGAGGATCAATGGAACAGATTAGAAGATACAGAAACAATTCCAGACATACTTAGCCACCTTATTTTTGAGAAAGGTGCCAAATAATTCACTGGGAGAAAGACAGCCTCATTAATAAATGGTGCTTGAAAAACTGGATTTGCACATGCCAAAGATTAAAATTAGACCCATATTTTTCACCATGTACTGACTAAAGTTGAAATTGGTCAAAGAGCTAAATATTAAAACAAAAACATTAAATCTTCTGGAAGATAGAATAGGAAGAACTCTTGAAGACATTGGTGTAGTCAAAAACTTTAATGAACAATACCCTGATTGCATAGGAACTATCATAAAGAATCAACAACTGGGATCTCATCTTAGTAAAAAGCTTTTTCACAGCAAGAGAAATCACCAACAGAGTGAAGAGACAACTCACAGAATCACAAAGAATTTTTGCCAATGGTTCCTCAAAGGATTATTATCTAGAATACATAAAGGACTCAAAAAATCATAAACCCCAAATTGAAAGATTTAATCCAAAAATGGTGTCTGAAATGAATAGACACTAGTCAGAAGAGAAAATAAAAGTGACAAATAAATACATGAAAAAATGTTCAACATCACTGGTCTTTTGAGAGATGCAAATCAGAACAACGCTGAGAGTCCACCTCACCCCAGAACGAAAGACTATTATCAAGAAACCAACTAATCAACAAATGCTGGCAGGGCTGTGTGGAGAAAGCCTCCAATGTTGGTGGGAGTGTAGACTAGTACAACCACTGTGGAAATGAGGGTAGAGATTCCTCAAAAAACTAGGCCTAGAGATTCCATTTGACCAGCCATTTCCCTTTTTTTGTATCTTCCTGAAAAAATTAAAAACCTACCAGTGCAAAATATACACATTCTTGTTTACTTTGTATTATATTTTTTAATAGCTAAATTCTGGAAGCAACCTGAATGCCCATCCACTGGTAAATGGAAAAAGATGTGTTTTTTAATATACTGAAGTACTACTGTGTCATTAAGAAGGATAAACTTGAGACATTTCTAGGTAAATTGGATGCACCCTAGACCATACTCTTAAGTGAAATAAATCAGACACACATGTGTAAACACCACATTGTTTCTCTGGTGTGAGAAACCTAAAGTGTAAATAAGGATCAAAATGCATAATAGATATTGTGAAATAGGAAGAAAATGTTCAAATGGGAAAGTGAAATAGGGAGGGAGGAGGGGGAAAGGAGAGAAGCGAAAGAAACATATGAAAAAAACAAGTAAAAATAAACTGGATGTGATGGTTTAATTTTGTACTCCCAGCACTCAGGATTCTTTCAAATTTGAGACTAGCCTGGGCTACAAAGTGACCCAAGGCCAGCCGGATCTGCATAGCGAGACCCTGTCTCA